GGCGCACTCCCACGAGTGCAGGGGGCGCGTGGAGGGGGGGCTCTTGGACGAGCCACCTCCTGCAGAGAGCGGCTCAGCGGGCGACTCCGCGGGGGTGGGGGCGGACGCGAGGGGCCGACCAGCTGCTCCCTCAGGCGGCGAGCCGCGGCTGAAGGCGCCCAGGGTGGCCAACCTCGTGGTGCCCGTGGGCGCCAGTGAGCCCGCCTACTTGAGATTGAACGGCGAGGGCTGCGAGCGGCTGCAGCTGTTCGCGGCGTCCGTGCGCGATCGGGAGACTCAGACAGCGTGGGCCTACGACCTCGTGCCAGAGGCGGTGGCGTGCGACAGCCGCGCGGGCGAGATGGCCCCGAGGGAGCTCGTGGTGCAGGGGCGCCAGCAGGAGCTCAACCTGATGGCCGCGTTCGGCGTCCATGAGGACGCGTCCGACGACTCGAGCGTAGGCAGGCGCGTGCGGGGCAAGTGGCTCGACGGACTCCGGCGCAGGCCAGACGGGGCGCCCTTCGTGCGGTCGAGACTCGTGGCCGTGGGCTTCGCCTATTCGAGCGCGACGACGCGGCGTCGGGTGCGCCGTGCCTCTTCTACTTGCGCTTGGTGTTGTCCTTGGCTGCCTCGAAGCCCCCATCGGGTCAGAGGCAAGTGGCGCTGCGCGATGCCAGCGTGGCGTTCTTCCACGCGGACATGGGCGAGCGACTGTGTGTGATGCTGCCGCCGGGGCAACGTCGGCCTGGGCGGGTTTGGCAGCCCCACAAGGCGCTCTACGGCACCAGGCCTGCGTCGAGGCTGTGGCAGGCGTGCGTCGGCGACGTCTTCGATAAGGGTCAGCCACCATGGGCTCGGATGACGCCGCGCCCTGGCGCCTTCTACAACGAGGCGTTGGACGTCGCGCTGGGCGTGCGCAGTGACGACTTCGCGGCCGAGGGGATTTCGGTGAGGCTGGGCGTGCTCGACGCGCTGCTGGAGGAACACGTCGAGATCAAGAAGCTTGGTCGAGTGGGGCCAGGTGCTGCCGGCGGCGACCACGACAGGCTGCTCAAGCGACGCATCGAGTGGCGGGTGGCTCCGTCTCCTCGCTTCGCGTGGAAGCAGATGACTCGCGCGTGGATAACCTGCTCGAGCTCTTGGACCCGCCAGCTGACCCGACGAAGCTTCAGACGAGCCCAGGCTCGAATGCCACGGGAGGTTCCGTGCCCAAGGATGCGGTCGTGGACGAGCGGCTTAAGTGGTTGGTTCCCAAGGCAGGCGGAGCGCTGACCTACCTGTCTCAGGACGTGCCGCAGGTGCAGTGCGCAGCGAAGAGGATCATGGCGGAAGCGCCGAAGCCTACGCCGCTTGCTGAGGTCAGGCTCAAGCGTGCTGCGCGGTACCTGGTGGGGTGCCCAGTGACGGAGTGGCACTGCCCGTTGCAGGACCTCCCAGCCACGGTGGACGTCGAGGGCGACAGCGACCGGGCAGGAGCGAGGAGCGGATGACGCGAAGTCCACGCAGTGTACGGTCATGATGTTCGGCGACCGCTGTCTTGAGGTGACGACGTCGACAAAGAGCTACGTGGCGACGTCAAGCGGGGTGGCAGAGGTCCTGGCTCTCAACATGGCGGGTGCCTCCGCTATCCTATTGCAGCAGATCCTCGCGCTGCGCGGGGTCCACGCGCGGGGAGTTGCTGGCGCGTCTCGGCCGCGAGGGGATGGCCCGCCCAGTGGGGTCAGGCCGAGTGCGGCATCTCCGCGTCCAGGACCCGTGGATACAGGAGCGCGTGCGGACGAAGGATCTGAAGGTGGTCAAGTTGGACACGGCGGTGAACCGAGCACACTTTGGGGCGAAGTACCTGGGCGGCTCGAGGATCGAGGTCTTGCTGGTGGGGCCAGCGACAAGAGGGCGCGCGGCTTGCCGTGTGAGCGACTCCGCGGCGGCTATGTTGAGGGTAGTCGCAGCAGCAGCAGCAGCATGTGTGAGTGACGTAGCTGGGGGCGTCGCAGCCACGGGAGAAGGCCAGTATGACGGCAGCGCGATGGGCTTCGTCATGCCGCTGTTCCTGTTCATGCTGGTGTACATGCTGAGAGCCACGGTAGCGGTGTGCTACCTCGCCAAGGGGCGCTGGAGGGAGCGTCAGCCCGACGCGGGCGGCGAGATATTGGAGGGCGCCGACGACGGGCGAGACGACAGCGCTCAGGGCGGACGAGAGCGGGAAGCGCCGCCTCCAGCCACAGAGAGCGCGGACGCTTTGGGCGGACGAGAGCGGGAAGCACCGCCTCCGGCCTCGGCGAGCGCGGACAAGGGATCGGCAGCCGGAGGCGCCGCGCCGATCAAGGACGACGGTCCTCGGCATCGACGGCAGGTCGCGTCGAGGGTCGTGGAGTGCCAGTGCGAAGAGCTCCGCGGCGTTCCACCCAGTGGCGAGCAGATAGCCGTCAGGGACGAGCTGATGCGCTACAGGGTGGACGAGCTGAGGGCAGCGCTGCGGGCGCGAGGCTTCAGCGCGACAGGCCTGTCGGCGAACCTTGCCAACAGGCTGGCGAGGGTGGCGTCCGGGCCATCCATGGCCAAGCAGGGCCCGAGGCCGACCATCGGTGGCTACGAGGGCTGCGAGCGCCAGCACTTGATGGTGCCCAACGACCCCTGAGAGGACGCGCCCAGCGGGAGGCTCCGCGGGGACGCCGCGCCTCGCTCCGCAAAGACGCGGCGAGGAGGCGTGCCAGAGCTATGGGCATAGTTCTGGGGTGTTTGGGGGGCGATGGGACCCGCATGCGTGTGTATACGTGTATATATATGTATATGTATATGTATATGTATAGGTGTGTGTATATATAGATATATTCATATATGTATGCATGCATGTATGTATGTATGGACGTATGCATGTTTGTTTGTTTGTATGCATGCATGCATACACGTGTGCATGTTTTCTTAATGTATGTAGGTCTTTATGTACTCATGTGTGTATGTCGCTGTATGTATGTATGTAAGCATGCACGCATGCATGCATGCATGCATGTATGCATCAACGTACGTATGTGTGTCTGTCTGTCTGACTGTCCGTATGTGGGTATGTATGTATGTATGCATTTATGTATGTATGCAGGCATGTAGGTATGTCTGTATGTGTGTATGTATGTATGTATGTATGTATGTATACATGTATTTGTGTGTCTGGTGTTACATGCATGTCCGTATGTATGTATGTGCGCGTGTGTAGGTGTGTATGTAGTGGTGTTTGTATTTATGTATGTACGTATGTGTGTATGTATGTATAATTGTGTGTTTGCATGTATGTATGTATATGAAATGTAATGTAATGTAGTGTTGTGTTATGTAGTATAATGTAATAAAAGGTAACGTCAGTGATCATAAGTGAATTTAGTGTGAAATCATGCATGTATGTATCGTATGACTATGTGTATGTATGTATGTTCTCTCTGTAAGTATGGTATATGATGGTTGGATATGGTATGGTATGGTGTGATGTGGTATGTATGTATGCATGCATATAAGTATTTACGTATGTATGTGTGCCTCTGTATGTATGCTTTTGTTTGTATGTATGTATGTATGTATGTATGTATGTATGTATGTAGGTAGGTACATTGGTAGGTATGCGTGTATGCGGGTAAATCTGTATGTATGTGTGTATATGTATGCATGTATGCCTCTGTATGTATACATTTATGTGTGTGTGCATGCATGCATGTATGTATGTATGTATGTATGTCAGTCCTTCTGCCCGTAGTTATGCATGCAGTTCTGTATGTGTGTAAATCTGCACGCATGTGAATTTGTATGTATCAATGTAGTCACACATGCACACATCTATTTAGAACACGTGTGTATACATACACATGTCTATGTATATGCATATATGCACATATGCATGTATGTGTACACATACACATATGGATAAGAGCAAATGCGGCCCCCGTGGTCGATACCATCGGCGGCCAACCTCCGGTACCACCCTCTGGGGCGTCCAAGAGACTCCCCGAGGCCCTGAAGGTGGCCGAGGACGCCCTGGAGACAGCCCAAGAGTGTTCCGAGGCTTTCCAAGCCCGCCCCCTGACGGCTCTGGAAGCCCCTGAGAGCACTCAAGATCGCCCAAGAGTCGCCCAAGAACTCCGGGGAAGCCCTCGAGAGGCCAAAATCATTGAGAGCCAATTGGAAATCAATCATTGTCTGTTCTCTCGCACTTCCCCCTCCGACAACGCTTTTGAGGCTAGCGCGCATTGAGGGGTTTTGGGCCTTGAGGCCCTCTTTGGTGTTCTTGGTGTCTCTCCAGCGTGTTGGAGCTCTCCTAGAGCCATCTCACACGGCATCTTGGCGGCCACGGTGGGTGGATTTTGAGGCTCCAAGGGCCCCGGAGGCGTTGACGAGCTCGTTCGTCCCGCCCCCACTCCTCTTCCTCTTGGGCTTGGATTTTGGACCCAGGGGAGGGGGAAAAGGGAAGGGGGACCAGCCAATCATCTCACAGGCTTGTCCACACTCAGCAAGTGGGGGTCGGCGGATTTTTTGCATGTTATATATATACACATACATGTACATATAAACATATGTACACACATTTATTTATTTTATATATGTACGTATGTATGTATGTATGCATGCATGCATGCATGCATGCATGTATGTATGTATGTATCTATGTATCTATCTATCTATGTATGTATGTATGTATGTCTGTTTGTCTGTCTGTCTGTCTGTATGTATGTATGTATGTATGTATACATATACATACATATATATATATATGTATATATATATATAAGCAGATGTAAATGAGGACGAGAGGCAGCCTCGCCTTCCTTCTGCTCCTGCTCCTGATCCCGCTTCTTGTGCTCCTGCTGCTCATCCTAGTGCCGACGCTGATTCCCTTGCTCCACTTATTGTGTACGTTTGCCCTTCAATCTTTCGCTTCGCTGCTGCAGCTCCCAGCTTTGCCGCCATCCCTGCGATAGAGGCGGACGATCGCATTGTTCCTCCACTGCCTTGTTGCCTTCCTGCCTGGTCCTCGCCAGGCCGTCGCAACAGCCGACCGCATACAAGACCAGAGCCATGCATCAGTTAAGCGCTCGATGGGCATGGCCTTGCAGGCAGCTGCTGCAGCGGAATGCATGAGGGTGAGGGCGAGACTGTAGAGAGCGGAATGAGGAGGCGGATGATGGGGTTGATTGTCAATGATTGTTCGTGGAGGCGGAGGCGGAGGCGGAGGAGGAGGAGGAGGAGGAGGAGGAGGAGGAGGACCAGAGAGAACCCAGGATGCACAAACGATGCTGCAATACACCCTCCCATCCCAAGTCCCTTCCGCACGTGGTCCTGCAAGTGTTCCCTTCCTCTTGGGCGTGCCTTCTGTAGCGACGAGCGCCGAGTGAGCCTGCCACTCAGTCGAGGCTCCGTTTCTGTAAAGGATCCACCCTTCTTCTTTCTGGCGAAGAGAAGCGCCACGAGGTAGGATTAGAATGTTCAAGGAAGTGGTCACCGATATTCCCGGCTTTGAACAGCTTCAATCTTCCATCCGTGTTTTTTTTCACTGTTTCAAGCATCCGGCAGTCAAATGCGCGGACAGCTCGAGCGATGACCCCATTTTGGTACGGAGCGGCCCAGCATCCAGGTAATTGTTGCACTAGTGGGGATTTTGGGTTTCAGAAGTTGGAACTGCCTCAAGCGAGGGCTGCATTTTGTTGCACATGTGAGAACTTCGGGCTATCGAATTTGTAGTACATCTGAAGCGAGAGCCGCATTTGGAACACAGTTTGGACCCTATTCTTGTAGCTGTTGGAAGCTTTCGAAAGGAATGTGCGCGGCGCCACGGTGAGAACTGCACGTTGCCAACGACCAACCAGTACAACTGATTCAGCATCGTCAACTGGAAGGAAGTAGTCTCAAGCGAAACGCCCTGCCAGGCCTACTAATATGTCTGGTGGCGCAACATGAGTTTGTCGTAAGGAGAAGAGGGATGAAGAAGGATGAGGAGGAGGAGGAGAAGGAGGAGAAGGAGGAGGACGAGGACGAGGAGGATCAGGAGGAACGGGATGAGAGGAAGGAAGGAGTCGGAGGAGGTGGATGTGGTGGACGATTTAGGGTCGAGAGAAGAGGGATGGGATGGAATGGACCTATCGGGAAGCGATGAGGAGGGAGGGTACTCGTGTGTGAGGCGAGGAGGTTGAGAAGGAGGAGGACCAGGGCGAACTCAGCCTGCATCAAGGATGCCGCAGGACACCATGGCCGTTCCAAGCCCCTTCTTCGGCATTTCTTAGGAGCCTTCCTCTCCAGTGCAAGGAACGAGCACATCACCCTGGGGGCCTGCCCTTCAGGCGAGAGCCCTATACTGAAAATGCACTGCCTTACACCCTCGTGCGGAAAGTTTCGATAACACGGCTCAGTGAGGTTTCCAGTGGGATCCCCGTTCTCAAAAGAATTGCCCCCGTCTGTGTGTCATGGTCAGGAGCTCCTAGGCAGTCTCAAGAACATAAACAATGATTGCAGCATCCTAGAAGGAGGAGGAGGAGGAGGAGGAGGAGGAGGAGGAGGAGGAGGAGGAGGGGGAGGAGGAGGGGGAGGAGGAGGAGGAGGAGGAGGAGGAGGAGGAGGAGGAGGGCCCCTCTGTTGTTTCCTAGGGACCTTTGAGGGACCCCTCTGTTGCCTCCTGGGGACCTCTGAGGGGGCCCCATCCGTTTCCTGGGGGCCCCCTCTGCTGTTTCCTAGGGGCCTCGAGGCGTGCGGCCCTGAGGTCAGATCCCTATTTTGATGAGAACGACTCAGTCGAATGTGAGTGGCGTTAAGGCGGTAGGTCCATTTTGAAAACGACCCCCCATTCGTGTATCTGCTGCAAATTTGAAGCTTCAGGATCATACATTGTTAGGAAGTCCCAGGCGAAACGCCCGGCCCGCCCTACCGATATGTCTGGGGGTGCGAGAGGAAGGAGTTATCACTAAGGACAACGGATAGATGGAGGCACAGGGGATGGATAGGGAGGACGGAAGCGGAGGGAGGAGGGTCGGTGGGACGGGCGAGGGAGGAATCGTGTGATGGACCGAGGAAGGAGTAGGGAGGAGTAGGGATGAGGAGGAGGATAATGAGGAGGGGGAGGAGCAGGAGGAGCAGGAGGAGGACCAGGAGGAGGAGGAGGAGGAGGAGGAGGAGGAGGAGGAGGAGGAGGAGGAGAGGAGGGGAGAGGAGGAGGAGGAGGAGGAGGAGGAGGAGGAGGAGGAGGAGGAGGAGAAGAAGAAGGAGGACGAGGAGGATCAGGAGGAACGGGATGAGAGGAAGGAATGAGGCGGAGGGCGGAGGCGGAGGCGGAGGCGGAGGCGAAGGAGGAGGAGGAGGAGGAGGAGGGAGGAGGAGAGGAGGAGGAGGAGGAGGAGGACCAGGAGGAGGAGGACCAGGAGGAGGAGGAGGAGGAGGAGAGGAGAGGAGAAGGAGGAGGAGGAGGAGGAGGAGGAGGACCAGGAGGAGGAGGAGGAGGAGGAGGAGGAGAAGGAGGAGGAGGAGGAGGAGGAGGAGGACCAGGAGCAGGAGCAGGAGCAGGAGCAGGATCAGTAGGAGGAGGACGCGGGTGGGATGGGGAATGATGGAGGGCGGAAAGTGTCCGCGTGGACAGAGATGACATGAGTGCCACAACGCTCGGACACCGCGGTCGCGGCATGTACGGGAGGCAGGGCCATCTTTTCCTTTACTCGTCCGTCCTCCATCCTCCTGCTCCTCGTCCTCCCTCCTCCCTCCTCCTTCTCCCTTTTCTCCTTCCTCCTTTCCTCCTTTTCCTCCTCCCTTCCTCCCTCCTCTCTTGGCGCTGCACCGGCCCCCTTCTCCCTTCCTCCTCCTTTCCTCCTCCCTTCTTTTCCTCCCTCCCTCCCTTCCTCCCTCCCTCCTCTCTTGGAGCGCGGCGCCGGCCCCCTCCTCCCTTCCTCCTTTTCCTCCTCCCTGCCTCCCTACCTCCTCTTCCTCTCTTGGAGCGCGGCGCCGGCCAATGACCGCGCCAGCCCGAGTCCGGCCTCCCGCCGCCCCGACCCCTTGACCAGCCTTGCCCCTTCGCTGCTCGCGCCTCTCTTCCTCCCTTCCCCCTTCTCGCCTCAAACGTGTGAGCCACTCTTTGGCGAGGCGCCCGCCGAAGACTGGTTCACATCCGCACTCGACGTCGCCAAGTGGCATTCTGCGGAGAACGACGACGCGACCCCCTGAGGGCCGAGGTCCTATCCACCCTTCCTGCCACGGTCTGTGTGTCTGTCTGTCTGTCTGTCTGGCTGGCTGGCTGGCTGGCTGTCTGTCTGTCTGTCTGTCTGTCTGTCTGTCTGTCTGTCTGTCTGTCTGTCTCTCTGTCTGTCTCTCTGTCTGTCTGCCTGTCTGTCTGTCTGTCTCTCTGTCTGTCTGCCTGTCTGTCTGCCTGTCTGCCTGTCTGTCTGTCTGTCTGTCTGTCTGTCTGTCTGTCTGTCTGTCTGTCTGTCTGTCTGTCTCTCTGGCTGTCTGGCTGTCTGGCGTACCACTATAGCTTGCATCCTCGTATCCTCCCTCCGGACCTCCCCGCGCGCAACCCATCGGACCACGGCTGCCGCGCTGGCCCGCGGGGAGAGGCTGGGCCCAGGGGCGCCTGGCTGCCGCGCTGCCTCGGTGGGCAGCCGGCGAGGGGCGGCGTCCGCGCCGCGCCTCCTCCCGCTTCCGCTCCTCCCGCCCTCCTCGTCCTCCTTCTGTCCACTCCTCGTCCTCCCGCTCGTGCTCCCCCTTCTCCCTCCTCCCTGCTCCCCCCCCCCCCCCACCCCCTCCCCCCCCCTCCGGCCCTCCGTCTGCTTCCTCCCGCACTTCGCCTCGCCCTCGTCGTCGTCGTCGTCGTCGTCGTCCTCCTCCTCCTCCTCCTCCTCCTCCTCCTCCGTGCTGCTTGCTCCTTATTCCTCCTCCTAGTTTTCCCTTCTCGCTGCTTTATATTTCCTTCTCCTCCCTGTTTCCGCACTTATCCTTTGTCTTTGTTCTCTCCTTTCTTCCTTCCTTTCTTCCGTCGTTTTCCCGTCCATGCCTTCCATACACCCCCCTACCTCGTCGCCCCTCCCTGCGCTCCGGACTCCTCCCTCCTCACTTCTTGAAACTCCTCCTTCATCTCCCTTCCCCCTTTCTCCCTCCTCGCTCCTCCCTCGCCACTCCTGCCTCTTGCCTCTTGGCCTACTCAACAGGGGCAGTCCAGTGAGGTCTTCTGGATCCCTCCTTGCTCCTCCTCCTCCTCCTCCTCCTCTCCTCCTCCTCTCCTCCCCTCCTCCTCCTCCTCCTCCTCCTCCTCCTCCTCCTCCTCCTCCTCCTCCTCCTCCTCCTCCTCCTCCCCCTCCTCCTCCTCCTCCTCCTCCTCCTCCTCCTCCTCCTCCTCCTCCTCCTCCTCCTCCTCCTCCCCCCCAGGCCGAGCAGCTGGGGGTCGCCACCCTCCAGAAGATGCACGAGCAGGAGGAGCAGATGGACGCCATCGCGGAGGACATGGAGGACGTCAAGGCCCGTGCGGGCTTCGGGCCGCGGGTCGACCTCCGCGCCGCCGCCGCCGCCGGCGGCGCCGCCGCCGCCGCCGCCGACGCCGACGACGACGACGACGACGTTAGACGACGACGACGACGACGACGACGACGACGACGAGGACGACGACGACGCCGACGCCGACGCCGACGACGACGACGATGACGACGACGACGACGACGGCGACGGCGACGACGACGACGACGACGACGACGACGACGACGACGACGACGACGACGACGACCCCTGGGCCTCGAGGCGTGGGGGTGTTCGAGGGCCGCCGAGGGCATCGGGTGGCTGCGGAGGGCCCCCGACGTGCCTTCGCGCGTGTTGGGCCTCCTTGCTCTGGGTGGAGCCTCGAGCGAGAAGGAGTCGAGAGGCTGCGCGTTCCGCCCCCTGGGGGCTTCTCGGCCAGATTGCCCACGGCGTGGCATCGAGCGAGCAGCGTCGACGGGGTGGAAGCCAGAGGCGGAGCTGAGAGAGGCAGGGCACAGCGAGTGCAAAAGGGGGGCACCGGAGGCGGAGCGGAGAGAGAGAGAGAGAGAGAGAGAGGTGCAAGGAGGGGTGTCCAGGGTGCGGCCGTCGGATTCCTGACACGCAGACACATCTGCGCGCGTTAGGGCAGGCGTCCAACGTGGTTCTGGGGCAGGCGTGGACGCGGCACTCGTCTTCACGCGTGGCAGGCCCCAAGGGAAGGGGTGTCCAGCGAGCGACTGGCGGATTCCTGACACGCAGAAGGGGGGACATCCAACATGCGCCTGGCAGGCACGCACGCGGCACGTGTCTTCACGCGTGTTTGGCTCCCACGGGGGTATACAAAATGCCTCTGGCAGCAGGCGTGGCTGTGGCGCGCAGTAGCGCGGGACACTGGCGCCGTCGCGCGATTCGGCGTTGTCGCCCGCTGCCTCGGGCACCTTGCCAGCTTTGCTTGGCCAGTGAGTGCGATGGGCATCGTTGCCATCATCGTCGTCTCCACGAGGTGGAAGAGTCAGGGGCAACGATAGGGGGGGATAGGCATAGGGGGGATGCATCGGCCCCCAATCGCCCATTGATCGCCGATGGGGGCCCGATAGCCCCAACCTGCCCAGGAAGGTGCGGACTCACGATCGCGGGCCCATCGCCGATCTGTCGGCGATGCATCGCCGATTCCGTCGTTGCCCCTCGAAGAGCTGGCGGGCGGCAGCGGCGCGGAAGCAGCCGGGCGGGCGCCCGAACCGAGGTGCGGCACACGGCGCCGCTGGCGCCGTCTGCGGTGCGCCCGTGCACGTCTACATGGAGCGAGAGGGGGCCGAAGTGAACCTGGGGGGGAGTGCATCGACGGAGGCGGAGGAGGAGGAGGAGGAGGAGGAGGAGGAGGAGGAGAGGAGGAGGAGGAGGAGGAGGAGGAGGAGGAGGAGGAGGAGGAGGCGGAGGAGGAGGAGGAGGAGGAGGAGAGGAGGAGGAGGAGGAGGAGGAGGAAGGCGCGACTTCCCCGTGGGCGGCCACGGGAGGCCCCCCCGTGCCGCGGGGCTGCGGGCGGGCCGGCGCCGGCTGCTTCCGTGCTCTGGGCCGCGGTGTGCGTGCTCTGGACCGTGGTGTGCCTGGCGGCAGCGGCCCGGCAGCCACTGGGCGCGGCGCCCGCGCCGAGTTGTGCGGCACGCGGCGCCGCCGGCGCCGCCCGCGCCGCGCCCGCTGCCGTTGGCGCCCCGCCGCGCCCCGCCGCGGCCCCGCCGCGGGCGGCCGTGCCTCCGCTGCCCCCCGCCCGTGGCTTCTCTGCGGCCCCGCGGGCGACCTGCACCGCACACCGCATTCGGCGCCTGCCGAGGCGCCGTGGACGATCCGCCCGGGAGTGGTGCGGCGCAGAGCCTGTCGTCCGACGAGGGCGTCCATGCACCAGCACCGTGCCCGGCCAGGGCCACCCTGGGCCCTAGGATGGTCTACAGACCCTCCTGGCCTCGGCCAGGAGGGCGTATACACCATGCCAGGGCCCAGGATGGCCCTGGCTGTGCACGTTGGTGGTGTGTAGATGCCTTTCGCGTCTGTCGGCCCTCGAGTCAGGCCAGACGGTGCGCGGGCAGGGTGGGAAACGGGCTGTCGGCCCCCGGGCCCGACGAGCTGAACGCCGTGCCGCGCGGGAGCGAGGCCACGGGGGGAGCTCAGGCACGGCACGGTGCACGAGCTCCGTTTCTCGTGGCTGCGACTTGGTGCGGTGCAGAGTTCGCAGGCCCTCGGGCCCGACAGATTCGTGGCGCTTCGCGCATCCCCACCCGCCCACCCAAAAAACGATGCCCAGGCGAGTTGCCTCTTGGAGTCACCTCCGATGCCTCTTGGGAGTTTTTCGGATGCCTCTTGGAGCGCCTTGGGGGCCCCTTGGCGGTCCTGGGGGCCTCTTGGAGCGTCTTGGGAGCCTCGGGGAGCCTCTTGGGGCCTCGTGGGGTTCTCTTGGGAGCCTCTTGGAGGCCTCCTGGGCGCCTCTTGGGGCCTCCTGGGCGCTTCTTGGGGCCCTCTTGAGGCGCCCGTACCGCGCTGGAGCGAGGCCCGACGGGAGTTCAAGCACGACAGGGCGCACGAGAGCCGTTCTCGTGGCTGCGCTTTTGCTGACCCGTGATCCGCGATCGTCGTCGCCCTCAGCTTCCGCGCCGCGCACTTTCGTTCCAGAGGCCCTTCCGCTCCGTGAGCTTGGTGTCTCCCTCCCCCCCGGCGAGAGCCTCGCGCACGTCGTCCACGCCGGGGGGGGGGGGGGGGCGGGATGGTCTGGTGGAGGGGAGGCGGGTAGGGAAGCAGGAGGGGGGAGGTCCGTGGGGCCGTCCTGAGGCCGATGGGGAGGGGGGGGAAGGCAGGGCTCAGTTCGACTCCTCCGATCGGGTTCGAGTCGATCTCGTTGGCTTTCGATTCCAATTCGACTCAACGTGGGACCCCGATTTTGGATGCCTGTTTCTCAGTGCAGGCCTACCAGCCTGCCGATTTCCGCCGATCCGATTCATTGCGATCGCCGATCCAGCTTATCGATGCGATTCTGGGCTTCTCGAGGTGGTGTGAAGGGGATCAGGCGAGACAGGAGTACCACTACCACCAGCTAGTGGGGTGGCCGCTCCCTCCCCACGAGTTGGTGGCACCTCCTTCCGGGAACTCTCTGGAGGCATACTCGGAACGAGGTGCCACCAGCTCGAGAGGGTGGGACAGCCACCCCCGTAGCTGGTGGTAGTGGTACTTTTGTCTCTGGCGAGGCGAGGCAGCGGTCAGAAGCCAGTTCGTCCGAGGCTACTCTGGCTCCGCAGCGGAGGCCCTATGGATGAGCAGATGCCCCATCAAGCCCATCATCAGAGGGGGGATGGGAAAGGCGACAGGGGGAGGAGGAGGAGGAGGGGGAGCAGGAGGAGGAGGAGGAGGAGGAGGAGGAGGAGGAGGAGGAGGAGGAGGAG